TTCCTGCTGTTTCAAGCCTTCTTCCTTTGGAGGACATTAAGGTATTTCTTTAATTCCTCAGCTGATTCAATACAAGATGAGATGGAATTTCAGGGTGATCCTGTAAGCAGTACTTCATTGAATTTCCCCTCTCGCCAAATCCATCTTTGTGCAAAGCATTTTCTCACTCTCCTAAACAAGGAGATCCAAGACCATTTCTCTCTTCTGAAAGAGGCCCACTAACACATATCTGCCCAACCAATTTAAAGGGAGACCATTTTCTTTGCTTCCAGCAACAGGCAGATGCATGTGTCTCCAAAAATCTTAGAAGGACCTCTGTTCAACTGATAATCACCAAACTCTCCAAGGACGTGGCATCGCCGTCATCCTTCTAGAGGAGCATGTACTCTCTAGCATGTCATGTCAGTATTGTACCCCCGTGTAATCTAAGAGCACAGAAAAGTGGGATTTAAATGAGGCTCATCTGGTTTTCAGGCCAAGACCCATCAGGACATATTCCATATTCAGAGCACTGTGGCATAAACTAAAGAATGTGTGGGATAATAACAATTCCCAATACGCAAATTTCAGGCTGCTCTAACAAGCACAGTGCACGTTTCACAGATTTCACTAACACTTCCTCAAGCTCCTTTATTTATTTGGATTAGAAACAATCATACTGTGATACCGTGATTCTGGACTCTTCAAATTTACCTCTTCCCCCACCAAGAACTTCCTTGTATAGAAACTATGCAAAAAGTCTAACCAGCTCTTGGTTATTTTCTAAGGACTGTAAATGCAATGTTGATTTGAAATACTCTCATTCAGGATGGTATCAAGTGTGTCTCACTTTGGTGTTCATTATGTAGAATAAGAAATTGAATTTCAGTAGACTCACAGCACTTCATTCTCAAAAGACTGCCCTGATGTTAGTAACAGGACCAGTTCTGAGATTACATATTAATATACTGGACTGAAAGCAGACTCTCAGATCCGTTTATGATAATGTCAGTGTTTTTGCTAGACAATTTATAGTTTACAGAATTCTAAAGTAGAGATGGCCTCACATGGTAGGAAACTGAGCACTAAAATGTTGAGAGAATGATGAAGTCATAATGTATGACTTTAGATAAAATGTAGGGAGACAGCTAGTTGCCTGCATATATGTCTGTTACAAATCAGCAGTTACTCTAGTGACAGAGGATAACAGCAATAAGTACCCCAAACACATGCTCCACCATCCTTAAAAAGTTTTGGGGCTTCCCTGGTGGCGCAGTGGTTGAGAGTCCACCTGCCGA